TCCAACATAACTTATTTTGACAAAATTGTGATGAAATTGATGAAAATGATTATAGCTACACATTTTGATAAGTTGAGGGACCAATGGTAATGAATTTTTAGTTGAGGGACCATTGCTCCAATTTGATTAAAGTTGAGGGACCATTGCTACAATTTACTCTTTTTCAAATTAACGAACTAATGTATTTCCTTACTAATTCTTATTTCACTCATATTGATTGCACATTGTTTAGCTTAGATGGTCTTGCTTTTTATCACTAGTTGATTTCACGTCTTAATAATTTTTTTTTTTTGAAAAGAGGATCAGTTGGTGGCTTCCTCAAGCAGTTTTCTTTTTTAGGGGTTGAGTAAACTTACAGAGACATTTCAGCCTCCCATTAACCACAATCGTGTTAATAATTTTCGATAATGTTATATCGCCTAGCCTAGGAATCAATAGTGGTAAAACGAACCCTTTTTTTTATCCACAAAGAGATACGAACTTAGAACCTCTCCAACTCTTATAAATGGTGTGCTTTAATGACTTGAAACGGCCGCATAAAAAATTTCTACACAAAATTAAAAGAGAAATTAGTCGAATGAGTTGAAATAATTAGTTCTAAGTATATCATCGATATATAATAGTTGTATTGTTAATATTTTAATCGATGCGTCATTTATAACTAATTTCTTTTTCGAATAATGCTATGGAGACCACATTTTAAATCACTTTTGTGTACCTTGTTATTGTGACAAGTGATGCATACAACCAACATTTAATCAGATAAATTTATTAATTAATGTGACATATACACATCATTTGACCCATCAAATAATACAGTCATGTGGTGTATTTCTTTCCATTAATTCAACTAGAATTTTATTTCATATCATTTAAACCTGTTTTTCAAATTAAAATATCAATATACAAAATTGAAGACTCATAAACTAAACTTTGTGTACCACGCCGAAAATATTATTCTCCCGCGAAAAGGTTTGGATAATCCGAAGCAGCGCGGGTCATACATTAGGGTCAATTTAAACGGGTCTCCTCTGCACGACTGTCGTCTGCAAGAAATGAACGGTCAAAACCCACAGCGCCGCCGCCCTACGCAGCCGAGGCAGCAGCAGCAGCACAAGAACAACTACTTCACAGTCTAAATCAAATCCCTATCCCGGATAATGCTATCCCTCCGCTTCCCTGTTCCAATCCAGAACGCTCTCACTCCCTCCAATCCCAGATTCTCGCGCAATCAAACACCCAGAAGAATCCGATCACATCCGCGCCTATCCAACTCTCTCTCTCTTCATTGCGCAACCGCAACCGATGCGGTTGTTCACAGGGAAGAGAGCAGAGAGCAATTTAATGACCGATTTGCCCCTGGTGTACACTTCCGGCCGGATGACGAGCCGTTGCCGGCGGGCCTACGGAGAGAGTTGATGCCAAGACACGTGGCCGTGATCATGGACGGCAACGTGAGGTGGGAGAGGCGGAGGGGGCTGCCGGCCGGGTCGGGTCACGAGGCGGGTGCGCATTCGCTGAGAGGGCTCGTTGAGCTGTGCTGTAAATGGGGGGATTAGGGTTCTCACTGTTTTTGCGTTTTCTTTTGATAATTGGACTCGGCCAAAGGTCAGTTCTTCAGAACTCAGAAGCAAGAAAAGTGCTTTCTGATGTAAAGTGCTTTTTTTGTTTCTTTTTGGAACTGTGGAATGATTTGGCTTGGTTATAATGTAGGTGGAGGTTGAATTTCTGCTGGATTTGTTTGAGAAGATGATTAGCTCCGAAATTGACGATTTTGCAAGGTAGCACATTTATGTTCGAATTCATTGTTACTTGTTTGAATTCATCACATTTCTGCATAGGTTTTGCTGGGATGTGCTGCACCTTGAAATGTTTTTCCCATTTTTTGTGAGCTTTGAAACTATTTTTACTTCCTAGGGATTTTTATTGCACTAAAAACTTGAATTGCACATTTTTGTGCTGTGGCCGAAAACTCCTAACCTGAACTGGTTCCGGTGAACCTAATTGTATATTGTCTTGTTATGGCGTTAATCGTTAGAATGTATTCGTTGAAAACTCTCTGGCAAGTTGAGACCTGCTAGATTGAATGGGTGGCTGGTGCACTCAATCTCAATGAGGTACTGAGTTACACTGTGTTAAAACATCTGATTTGGTTTTATTTGCTTTGACAGCGAAGGTATTCGAATATCAATCATTGGGGATTCGTCAAAGCTCCCTGACCCTTTACCGAAACTGATAAGTGATGCGGAGGAGAGAACGAAGGACAACTCTAGACTTCAACTAATTGTGGCAGTGAGCTACAGTGGAAAATATGATGTTGTGCAAGCATGCAAAAGTATTTCTCAAAAGGTAAAAGATGGCGTTATTGAAGTAGACGATATCAATGAAAGCCTCATTGAACAAGAACTAGAACTAACTGTACCGAGTTTCCCTACCCTGATCTGCTAATACGAACAAGTGGCGAACTCAGAGTCAGTAACTTCTTGTTGTGGCAGTTGGCCTACACGGAACTTTTCTTTGCATCGGCACTTTGGCCTGATTTTGGGAAGTCTGAGTTTGTGGAGGCCTTGGTTTCCTTTCAGCAGAGGCAGAGGCGTTATGGTGGAAGAGATCTATAAGTGACGAAATTGTATTTCCTTGCAGCAGAGGCAGCGGCAGAGGTGTTGTGTAAATATCAGCATCATATGCTGGTTGCACATGTAATGAATATTCTTTCTTGATCTAATTGTCTCAGTCCCTGTATCAGTAGTTGCATCAAATATTTATGAATCTATGTAGCATGTGCGTGTCTGCCCTTCTACCTGGTTGTTTCCTAGTTATGGCTTTACCAACGGTAAATTAGTGTCATCATGGTCATAGAATGAATCGTTCATACTCTGTAATTCTATTGTTTCTCCATATCTTCTCTTTCATCTGATTATTTCAGATTTACAGGCACTTCCGATTATTAATTTTACCTGGGTTTGTCAATGAGCAGATAGCATGAAGACTTTGTTTTGCAGGAGCAAGAAGATTATGTAAAGCATTATCTCTCGTTCAAATGGTAAGGCAAACAAATTAACAGTTTGCTGTAAACATTACTTTTTTAGTCCATTTTGCGTTAATCTTACGCTCTAAAAGTAATTATTGCTCCACATTGTAGCACAGTTGTGTACTTCCTGTTTGATTAATTACACCATTGGTGCTTGTAGCTATGATTTTTTTCGTCATACTGTAAGGTGAATATTCATAACTCCTTGTTCGCAAGGATAGATTCTACAGTACACAGTTTGGGCTAAACAATTCTACTGCTAGCAAATTGCTCAAAATTATCGGTTTCACTTACCAGGGGGCCGGGGCATTGATAATTGCTTATTCTGAAAGATGTTGTGTCGTCTATTACTATTATCCAGAGCGTGGATACATAATCATCATGTTTGATTAGGAGCCGCCTCATGCATAATGCTGTGGAGGTTCCTGAGTAGCGTGAAAGCCGGATTGTCAAACTGAATTATATGCAGTCATTTAGCTGATCTCTTCATTTATGTTCTACTTAATCCTGGCATCCTGCATTAGTTTAATGACAAAAACAGCAATTATGACAGCCAACCATGCTTATAGGTCTCCCTTGAGAGAGGCCTTTTTTTTTTGGTAATTCCATCAGTCTTTGCACCGATCCATTTAACTTGGTTTCCACAAAACACCATGCTCCAGGGAAGATTGCAGATCCTGGACAAGAGCAAGGATACTTGTTCCCCAAGGTATGTGGCTTTTGATTATGTCTTTTTTTTTCTTATGGTTTGTAATGATACGATAAAATCATCAGTATGAGAAGCAGCCACTCTGGTCTAGAACGTCTTTCCGCTAGAGTTGGCCGAAATATGTACTCGAAATGTGGCTATGGTATCTGATTACTCGGAAGAGAAGGAGAAAAATGAAAATGGACGAAACCGACAAGGGGCGTCCCTTTCCTTCCTGCTACAGAAGCATCCCTGATTGAACAATAATGTGGTGGATAGCAGGCCCCTAACAAGGGAGATGTTACTAATAAAGTACAGTTAGGTGTGTACTTTGTTTTTTTATTGCTGTTGCCATTTGGTCAGGTACGTTGAAGGTTAAAGAAGAAGGTGGGTGAGATGCGAAGGGCAGTTGGCTGAGATATTGGTTGCACTTGTAGTCTGTTATGTGGTTGTCCTACGTGAGGACGTCTAGATGAATACAACAAAGGAAGTAATTCTAACTCCCGGCTCATCTCTTTGCACCCATGCTCTTGGTTCTAAGTTCTAACCACAAGATCGAATAAATCAATGGTAAATTAAGAGGAAAACTAATGAAAAGGGTTTGAAAACTTTGAGTTTTAACGATAAGGACAAAATAAAGGGTAAAGTGAATAGTATCAGAATTGACTTTTTAATGTAAAAATATGGTTTTTCGTTAAAATGAACAGTACCGGGAACTTTTCGTTAAAGTTCTCTAAATTAAGAGTACAAAACAAGAACGCAAAAATCCAATAAACACGTCTACACCCACTTCTTATCAGATGAAGGAAGACGGATTCTTGATCGTTTCTATTGATGCGACGATATTAGGTCTTTGCCCCCAAGGAGTTAGATTGCAAGGGCGTATCTGGTGGTATCGTATGTAAGATCACGGCTGCATGTAAGAGTGGGAACTGCAGAGAGACGTGGAAACACCCGGTCTCAACCCGGCATCAGATACAAGTTATAATTCGGAAAGACGTGGAACATGTAAAATGTACCTAACCAACATTATAATTCATAAAAATTGTTCGCTACCAACAAGAAATAAAAAATATTAAGAGCTGTTAAATGAGCATTAATGTTGTGCAGATGAGTTGGTGGGTATCTCACTGAGTTATCCCCTCTAGGCCACTGTTCGAGGCCGCCACGGCCCCAATTTTTCATTAGTTCTGCACAGCGTTTGTGTTGTACGTGGGCTCCGCGCGCGTCAGCTAGGTCATCAATACAGCAATATATATGGGTACCACCAATAATTTTTTTTTGTACTTTTATAGCATGAGAAAGTTTCCAGAAAAACTACATATTGTAATAATTCTCCCGCTAAATTGGCCTCTGCGTACGAGTGTCCAAGTGTCTTCCAACGCTGCGAGGCTTAACGTTCAAACTCACGGAGGAGACGACGACGTAACAGTCCGCAGCATCATGTTCCTATCCCTGAGCTCTCCTATCTCAATCGAGAACGCCCTCATTCCCTTCAAACCGAGGTCCTCCCGCTCCCAAACACCCGGAATCCGATCACATCCACTCCCCTCAAATCCACTCTCTCTTCCTCGCTCAGCAGCAGCTGCTGCGGCTTTCAAGGAAGAGACGAGACAGTTTGCCCCTGGCGGAGACTTCCCGCCGGATGAGGAGTCGCTGCCCGCGGGTCTCCGGCGAGATTTGATGCCGAGGCACGTGGCGGTGATCATGGACGGTAACGTGAGGTGGGAGAAGCGGAGGGGGTTGCCGGCTGGGTCCGGTCACCAGGCCGGTGTACGGTCGGTGAGAGAGCTCATTGAGCTGAGCTCCAAATGGGGAATTGGAGTTCTCACTGTTTTTGCCTTTTCGTATGATAATTGGAATCGGTCCAAGGTCAGTTGTTCTCAAGCTTAGAAAGTGCTTGCTTTACATTTTTGGTTGAAAGACGTGATGTATTCATGATCTGCACTTGTAGCGTTGTAGGTTGGAGGTTTTAAGTTCAGATCTTGTAAAATGACAACTTCAATACTAAGTGTTTGTTTGATAGAGTTAAACTAAAGACAGCGATGGATCCAGGAGTCTAACATCGGATGGTTATAATTAAAGTATGCTAGTCGGGTGACGGATTAGGATCTAGCGCCTATGTGCCTAGATGAGACGTAGGCGGACTAGGTGAATTTAAATAAACTTATTATATATTATACAGATAAGTGTCAGAGAATTTGAGTTTATTATTTTAATTAAATTTATCATTTAACATATTACATACAAAAATATCATAATTTTTGCTTTAGTATTTTAGTGAATTTGATAGTATGAGATGAAAGTTCAAGTGATTACGAGTTTGTTGTACTTTACGAAATAGTTTTCAAATATCGTACGAATTTATAGTGAGTTTTAAAAGAAATAAACTTGTCAAACATATGATATAAAAAGTATTGGTTGAGTAATGCACCATTCCTTTATCAATTAAAATGTTAGGCGGCACAACCTGATAAGAAACAATTTAACAAAAAAAAAAAAAAGGGAGTTGGTCATGTGAGAAATGGAGAGAGAAACTCTTTCTTCTTCGTTGAAACCAAGGTCCAAGAATAGCAAAGCCATGGTGGTCTTTCTTCATGATTCAAAACTTATGTTGCACAATATCTGCACAACTATGATGATCTTCTCTCTTCCACAACCTACCCGTTGGGTGCTCATCAAAGGTCCTCACAAGTACTTATTTGGACTTTCTGGTGGTCCTGGGTCCATACATGCATCCACCTCTTACTAGAGTATCGAACATGGAAAGCTAGAGTATAACGCAAACGGGATAAGCAAATAAATATTTTTTTTCACGAAGTCTAGGCTGTTGTAGAGGGATTGAGCATTCCTGTGAACACAATGAGAAGATCTAGGGTAGAAAGTAGCTCCCCAATTACTCAGAGAAAGTCTTGCCTGGGGAGTACGGTCGCAAGATTGAAACTCAAAGGAAATTGACGTTTCACTTTTTATTTTATTTTTTAAACTAAAAATTTGAAACTTGTTTGGTAACTACTTTATGTTTTCTAAAACTAAAAAGTGAAAATTACTTCTTTGAGTTTTCTTTAAATTTTTTTAAAACTAAAGTAGTTACCAAACTTGTATTCAACTAAAAACTAAAACTGAATCAAACGGTCCCTAAATTATTATGTCAAGTCGCTTTTAGTTAAAGTGAACTTTAACAAAAAGCTCCCGGTACTGTTCACTTTAACGAAAAACCACATTTTTACATTAAAAAGTCAGTCATGATACTATTCAATATCCCACCACTTCATTGTGTTTATAATTTTTTTACTTATTAAAAAAAGCACGAATTTTGTTTTTGGTTGTTCTGTATGTCTTTGGAAATGTTTAGTGATTTGGTTTTGGTTGTGTAGATGGAGGTTGGATTTTTGATGACATTGTTCAAGAAGATGATTACCACCGAAATCGACAATTTGGCAAGGTAGCACCTTTTTTTTTTCTTTTTTTTGTTGTTGTTCTAATTTAACGTTACATGTTTGAGTTCATCATATTTCTGCTCATGTATGTTGAAAATGTTTTAATTTTTTTCTCTAATAATGCGTTTACTAATTCATAATCAAAATCAAAATACATAGTTGGTATGCTAAACTAATTTCCTTTTGTTTCGACAGGGACGGTGTCCGAATATCGATCATCGGAGATTCATCAAAGCTCCCAAAGTCTTTACAAAAAGTGATAAGTGACGCGGAGGAGAGAACGAAAGACAACTCTAGGCTCCACCTTATTGTGGCAGTGAGCTACAGCGGAAAATACGACGTTGTGCAAGCATGCAAAAGTATTTGTCATAAGGTAAAAGATGGCCTTGTTCAGGTGGACGATATCAATGAAAGCCTCGTCGAGCAAGAACTCGAAACTAACTGTACCGAGTTTCCCTACCCCGATCTTCTCATACGAACTGGTGGCGATATTCGAGTCAGCAACTTCTTGCTGTGGCAGTTGGCCTACACGGAACTTTTCTTTGTATCTGCTCTTTGGCCTGATTTCGGGAAAGCTGAGTTTGCGGAGGCTTTGACTTCGTTTCAGCGGAGGCAGAGGCGTTACGGTGGAAGATGAAGAGGTTTATAAGTGATCTGAAGTTGCTAATCTGCTTCTGTTTTATAGTTGTGTTCCGCATGTTGCAATAAAATGTTGTATTATGTGAATGACAGTACATACATACATACATATATATATATATATATATCACCATCAAGGGGTGGATGTGTTATGTAATGAATAAGTTGGTTTGCGGAACCACCATGCAGATCATTAACAAGAACAAGGATACTTGTGCTCCTAGGTAAGTATGTGGTTCTTGATTATGTCTAGCAGCAGGTTAACCGAAGATATTTCATTTGCCTGGATTTAGCATGCATATGGAAATCCGGAAAGCTTAAGGCCTTAATCCGTAATTAGAGAACCTAATTTCTTATGCTTCAAGTCATGGTGCTTGTTGATGCACAATATCGGGTCGATTTTGTACAACTTAGATGCGACCGTAAATCACGCACATAAGAACACAATAATATATATCTTGGTTCACTCAAGTTGGAGCTACGTCACGTTGATGTAGATCCGGTTTCACTATGTAGAATGAGAGTTACATTGTACATAGAGGCTTGGCTAGCTAGGCTTTGCCATCCTCCTAAAGTGAGGGTGATGATCCCTTTTATAGAACTTAGGTTTCTCTCTCAACTTACATACTTCATGGGCTAAGTAGTGAGACCTAAATATTGAGGCACAATTTATGGTACACCAAGTTTAGGGTTTGTCATTCCCTTGAAGTAAGGGTGAGTGATCTTTTTATAGAAAGAGTTTTTCTCTGTTCTTACATACTTCATAGGCTAAGTATCGAGGCCTAAATATTGAGTCCCAAGATACTAATTTACATTTATATTTTAGAATATTTGAGTTCTAATTGTATTAATAATGATTATTTTTGTTTTGTAAAAAATGTGAATGCTTGAGTGAGAAAAAACCTTTTTATCACATGTGCAATGCATTGTCGAGTGTCACATGAGGAGAGAGAGAGAGGAGAGGAAGGTGCATTGCACATGTTAGATCATGTTTAAAGGAGATGTCAAAAATTTTAATAAATAATATTCTCTACATCAAGGGTTGGGGGAGTGAGCTAAGCTTTATAATGGGCTAGTAACAATATGGTTCAAATTCGCCTTTGGCGAGAATCGAACCTCAAACATTTTACTTACAAGTGAAGATAAATACCATTAGACCGTAGTACTAAATGACTCAGGAGATGTCAAATTAAAATGTTAATTTTTTTTTTTACAGTTATGAAGTTTTTTATTACAACCAAGATGTTAAATTAATCAATAAGTGACGAAAAACAAAGAAACATGTGGGCCATCATTAAAATAAAACAAAAAAAATTGATGTTGCCTTCAAATTTGGCAGTAAAGTAGAGAATGTCATTCCAGGTAGGATTTTGAATCTCCTTTAGAACCAGAAAACCCTTTTTTTCGTCAAAAACAGTCTACGTAAGATTTTGACATCTCATATAGAGATGCTCTTAGTATCTTTCTAGCGAGCAACACAGTAAAAGAGATCTCAACGGATCCGGATCCCCTCCTGACCTTTAAAAACTGACATGCTGAGTAGGCTATCGTGGCCATTGAGATTTGATCAAACGGCTACAATTATTATAACTTTTAGAGGCCCCCTATTTGTAGCCATTAGATCAAATCTCAACGGCCACGATGTCCTATTCAGCATGCTCAGTTTTTAAAGGCCATGAGGAGATCCAGATCCCTCTAAATATTCCAAGTAGGCCGCTAAGACAATCTTAGTAACTCTGGTCTTCTTTATGTGAGGTTTGGCCCAAACATTTACTCGAACGTTGCAACGTTATTAGATCAATGAGTCAAATGGGAGAAAAAATAAAAAGGAAATTAATGAAAATGATTTGAAAATTTTGAGTTTTAATTAAAATGATACAAATGTGTTGTAAGTGAATAGTATCAGGAGTGACTTTTTAGAGTAAAAATGTTATTTTCATTAAAAGTCAACAACACTTGTGAAGCCAAAAATAATCACAAGGCGACATGTGGATTTTTGGACAAAAGAGGGCAAAATACCCTTGAGGTACAACAGGGTTCCTACGAGCGAGCAACGGGCAATCATCTTTCAACCAAATCAAAACTGCTCAAAATAGGTAACAAATTCAAAGTTATTTCATCCATCCTCATCCTATATTTTTCACAAGGCAATTATTTCATAACCTTCAAAACATCCCATATAAATTACATAACTCCCAAAATATTTATTCCAAAAATGTGTTGATTAACCAATTAATGGATTAATTGCCTAATTAATCCATTAAATCGCACATTAAACCATAAGTTACACCCTAAAAAATATCCAAAGGGGACCGGCCACCCTATCCCTATAAATAGGCTCCTATTTTCACCAAAAGATCATTCCAACACTCTTGCAAAAACTCCCAAAAAGCTCTCTAAAAACTTTTCTCTCTAAATTCTAATTTTGGCATCGGAGGTTCTTCGGCCAAAGCTCCCCCATTCATTGTGGGTGCGTGAGGCTTTTGACCTTAACCAAAAGTGTTAGTTGTTTTGTAGGTGTAATTTTGTTCAAGATCAAGAAGAAATAAATTTACATTCACAGCACCGGAAGTGTTTCATTAAACTTCCAAAATAAAATGAATAGCAACAAAACTGACAGGGACGCTCCCTTCCTGCTACAGATGCATGATCAAACCTGTACCAAACCTGTACCAAAATGCAGTGCATTTCCAATGATAATGATTGAATAATAATGTGGTGGATAGCAGTCCCAAATACGGGAGAAGATTCTAAAAAAGTAAAATATTAGAGGTAGGTGTGGACTATGTGTTTTGATTCCTTCTGCCTTTGGTTTGGTATGTTGAAGGTTAACCAATGATGTTCCCTTTGCTTGGATTTAGCATTTAGAAAATTTAAGGTCTTAATCCTTAACTAAATGACCTAATTTGGCTTCCACCTAATCCTGGAATATTGCAGGTTAATTTCAATTAGGAAATTATTATTAGCACTTCAAAAATTTCGTTATACACTACTCATAAATGTATTTTTCTTTCTAATTATAAAAAGTTTGGAGTGCTAATAACTATTCCATTTCAATTATTCTTCAATACTAATGACTGATTTTCTAGTTAGATCAAGAATTTGTTGTATTTTTCATGCTTTAAGTCAATGATGTCAACGGAGTAGGTTTCTTTCCCTTTCAAATTTATTTTTCTTTCAGCTTCCTCATATTTAAACGGTTGCGATTAAACCACGTCAACATTTATAACTTTCCGATCACATCTATATGTATTCGTATAATGTACTTTTTAACTTTATCTCTTATTAGCAAAGATATGAAGATAAAAAGCGTTGTGGTGACACAATGGAACTTTTTTGTTTTGTTGACTAAAAGTCTAAACCAATGACGTCCCATTTTTTAAAGGAAGATGCTAGTTGCTGGAGAATGTAATTATTTTTCTATTTTTTTAATTGTGAGTTTTATCCAGTAGGGGATCACTAATTTATTTCAGGTGGGCCACCAAGGACATTGATGTCAACGAATGTCTACCCTTATCCACAAACCATGATTAACCATAATTTATGATTAATTAATGGGAACTTTAACGAAAAGCATCCGGTATTGTTCACTTTAACGAAAAACCACATTTTTACACTAAAAAGTCAATCCTGGTACTATTCGCTTTCCCCTTTATTTTGTCCTTATCATTAAAACTCAAAATTTTCAAACCTCTTTCATTAGTTTTCCTTTAATTAATCTCATATTAGCCTTCCATTTAATCATTTAAAACGTATCAACTATGTGAAATCATCAAGGTAATTATAATTTTTTTTAGTACATCGATAAAAAGCCTTATTTGATATCGAATTCGCTATCCACTAAATTCAAATCTAAAACCTTTTATTTTCAAATGAAAAGTAATATTACCAGACCATAATACTAAGTAAAATCAAGATAATCGTAATTAAATACCCATCCTGAAATAATCAAATTACCCTTGGACAAATCGTCATTTTTTGGTTTTCACAAAACCTGGTGCTCTCCAGCACCCGCTGCGCCGCCTGGTTTTCCCTTCCTGTACCTGTCTTCAAAGCCGCCAATCAAACCTCTCCACCTCACGATACCAAAAATTTAACTCTCCCCCAGACCACGTGGCCGTCTACCAATGGCTGACTAACAGGACACGTTAAGGTCTTGACCGCAGGGGATCAAATAATTTCGGAAATTTAAATTTGAGTTAGGTGGATAAGGAATTTAAAAACCGGCCCCTCTTGCATGTTAATGGGAGTTTGGAACGGTCAGTGCAGTGGAGGTCCGAGCTTTTGTCTCTCTGGTTTCGTCGCTTCGAGAAGCTGAGGGGATAATTGGATTTATAAAAAGGTTGAGATTTTTGGGGTTTTTGAACTTTTATTTCTTATTTTCTGTTTGGTTGGTGGGAAAATATCGAAGTCATGGGAAAATCGTTCAGGGACTCTCTTAAAGCGCTTGAAGCAGATATTCAGCACGCCAATACTCTGTAAGTCTCCGCCTTCTCCTTCAATTCAATTATACGCTAAATTAGAAACTTTTTCATTTTTTCATAGAAAATTTCCCATTTTTTTTTATATTCATAGTTTCGATTTAAAGACTGATTTTTTTTTTTTGTAGATTTTTGTTTTCAAAAAAAAAAAAAAATTCTTAGGATCGTCTAGGCTTTTTTCTTTTGGGGCCAAACCAAGATGAAAAATCGAATTATGTATTAATGATGAGGGTTTTATTTATTTTGTGCATTTATTTGAGTTTAGAGATGTAATAATTGTGGAATGCTTGTTGATCAAATGCTTTGTTTGGCTCTCTGTTTTTTCAGGGCCTTGGATTATCCGAGGGAGAAAGATGGAGCGCGTCTTCAGATGAGACTGTCTTACTGTCCGGCGGCCAACTTTTTCCTCTTCCTTGTCCAGTGGACTGACTGTCACCTCGCCGGAGCGCTCGGCCTGCTTCGAATGCTTATTTATATGGTACATTCTTTTTTCCAAATCGAGTTTCGTTGTTATGTCAATGCGTGATTTTGTTTTCGTGTGCGTGTGTGTGTGAGAGAGAGAGAGAGTCGCCTCGCCGGAGCACTCGGATTGCTTTGAATGCTTATTTATATGGTACATTCTTTTTTCTAAATCGAGCTTTGTTATGATGTCAATGCGTGATTTTGTTCTCGTGAGAGAGAGAGAGAGTAAAAGGAATTTGAAATGGATTCCTCCGGATGTTTGCTGCATTAGGAACATTTTTTGAAGTACAACAGTAGTATAATAGCTGGTTTACATTTCCTGCTATTTCACCTCAAACAAAAGAGGCTATGAAATGAGAACTGATGGCCTATGGTGCGTACTATTATCTGAGGGGACCACGTTTTTTCGACTGCGGTAGTATGATTGCCGGGCCTGCTGGCCTATTGGGATAGCAGCCTTCAGGGTGTTGGGTTCAAGTTTTTGGTTGGTCTTTATTTTCTGGCATGCTTTGCGATTTCACCATCCAGTTTCTGAACCTTTAATTCGTTTATGTCATACTATCTTCAGAAAATGTAGTAATTTTATTTGACTTTTTGTTTGGTTGCGGGAATGTGATCGATTTCTGCAGACTTATCCAGATGGAAAGACCACCATGTCTGTTTATGAAAGGAAAGCCAGCATCAGAGAATTTTATGGTAAGCGAGATTCAGTAAAGATGTATGTAAATGCTTATTGTAGTAGTATTATTCGTACGCAAACGCTTAATGCTGCAAGTAAAACTTCTTGGGAGGCAGAGAAGGGGGAGGTGGGAAGGCTTTGGGGGGCACGGGATATAATTTTTTCTTCTTCGATATTCATGGATATGTTTTCTGAACACTTATATTTTCATGGACAGCTGTCATATTTCCTTCTTTGCTGCAACTTCAAAGGGGAATCACAGATGTGGAGGATAGGAAACAGAAAGAGATTTGCACTGCCAGATACAAAAGAAGGGATGAATCCGAGAGGGGAAAATTCTCTGAAATTGACTTTGAAAGAGAAGAAGAGTGTGGAATTTGCATGGAGGTGAACAGGAAAGTTGTGTTGCCTAACTGCACTCATACATTGTGTTTGAAGTGTTATCGAGACTGGTAAGCTTTTTGGCTTTTTTTCTTGTGTTTTCTTTATAGTTTTCAACTTATTTGTATACAACGTATTTTTGTTGTATCCATGAATTATGTTTCTGTTGCGCGAGAGTGATTTCTTGTCGATGCTTTCTATGCTGCGTACCACAGATTGAGCGAACTGAAATTGTACCTTGAATACGTGTTAACAAACTTAATTAGTTCATCTTTTCATTTTTGGAATACTCTCATACACATTGGACCATTTGTATTTTTAATGTTTTTGTTCGTAATAAGATTATGGTGTTAATTTGATTTTTATGTGCACGTTTATTTATTCCCATGTCTGGGGGAGCATTGTTCTCCGAAATCATTGTACCTTCTCCATCATTACGTCTTTGGGTTACTCTTTCAGCTCCTTCTCTCAGAATTGACCTTGCTTAATTACATAATACTTATGTGTAAATCTGGAATTTGAATTTCATAAGCTTCATGACTTGCTGTTTGGACTTTCCTTTTCCTCGTTTAAATGCTTTTTGTTTCCATTCGTAATATCGAGCAGAACCTGATGTCTCCTGTTTGTTTCAGGCGTGGTAGGTCTCAGTCATGCCCCTTTTGTCGCGATAGTCTCAAAAGAGTCGACTCTGGTGACCTTTGGATCTACACTGAGAAATGCGATACTCTCGATTTATCAACAATCTTAAGAGAGAACCGCAAGAGACTATTTATGTACGTTGAGAAGCTACCTCTTGTCATGCCAGATCCTGTTTTTCTACCCTACGATTCTCATGTCCGGTGAGTCTCATGTACAGCTTTCTTTCGGAAACTATTTGTATATAACATGCCTTCTTGTACTGTAATTTGAAACCTGTTAACATTTTAACATGTAATTGCACTTTGCTCATAGTTTTGATTGGCTTCAAAAGAGTAATTTATATGTTATGATTCTTGTCATACTTTCGTTCCATTTTTCTCCTTTTTTGAATTTCAATCATAGCTTGAACACAATATAGGTACATCAATTTGATTCGCTTTACATAATGCTACGAGATGAAGAAGAACGAGAGTAGTAGTATGGCGTTGGATCGCGAGTCACGATCCATTGTCTTGAATGCGTACGTAGTTTGCGTAAAAGCGAGGACGGTCTTCTTCTGCATGAACATAGGCATGGCCTCCATGACTGGAAACATCAAGACCTGCAATTTCGTCATCAACAGAGATCCTCAAAATGTTGAGCTTGTGAAGGGTGTAGAAGAGAGGACCCATTGTCAAGCTGACCCAGCCCACAATGGCCAAAAGCTCAACCACTTGCGCTCCGAGCAGCCCCCACCCGCCGCCCATGAAGAGACCATAAGGCCGTACTGTACCGACGGCGCCGGAATTATAGGCTTGGACCACAAACTCCTCTTTCGCAAACAGCCCTGTAAATATCAAACCCCAGGCACCACACCCACCATGCAATTGTGCCGCCTCTAGGGGGTCATCGAATTGTAGCTTTAGGGCCAAGATGTTGAGCCCGATTAAGACCCAAGCGGCGAAGAACCCGCAAACAACGGCAGCCCACGGCTCAACCACTGCACATCCTGACGTAATCGCTACAAACCCACCAAGCACTCCATTGCAAACATCTAGTGCATCCCAATGGCCCACTAGCACGCGCCGGCCGAACAGGGTTACGATTCCAGCAGTCGATCCAGCTAACGTAGTCGTAACCGCCGTTCGACCCACGCCAGTCCAATTCCCTTGATCGCTTGTGTTCGGATACGCCACGAGAATCTTATCAAACGAGCCCGGGTTAAACCCAAACCAACCAAACCACAATAAGAACGTTCCAAGCACCACAAGCGTCGCGTTATGGCCTCTAATGGGTATGGCGTTCCTGAACGCGTCGAATCGGCCCACTCTGGGGCCTTCAATGAAAGAGCCCCAAAGCCCGGCAATCCCGCCGACCAAATGCACCACGCCACTCCCGGCAAAGTCAATGGCCCCAGAGGTGAACAATAAGTTACTCGAGTTTGGGCTAAGCCATCCAGTGGACGACCACACCCAATGAGCCACCACAGGGTACACAAACCCGGAAAGGAAGCAAGAAAAAATGAGGTACGCACTAAACTGGGTACGCTCGGCAACAGACCCACTGGTTATACCCGCAACAGCTATAGCAAAAGCCCATTGGAAAAGGAAGAAGCTGTAGTCATAGTCGTAGGTGGAGTTGGGAATGTCCTTGAGAGCAAAGAAACTTGTACCAATAAAAGGGTTGGCATCTGAGCCTTCTCCGAATGCAAAGGCAAAGCCGAAGAGGTAGTAGGAGAGGCTACCTACCACAGCATCGACGACGTTGGTGAGCATTATGTTCATGGCGTTCTTGGCTCGAACGGAGCCGGCGCAGAGCATGGCAAAGCCGAGCTGCATGACGAAGACTAGGTAGGCGGAGAAGAGGAGGTAGATGGTGTTGATGGAGTATTCGACGCTTTCCTCCCATGAGGCGGCCATGAGAGAGTTAGAGAGAGAGGTGGTTGGTAGTGAAGAGAGGTGGATGATATTTGAGATGGGTTTTGATAGTTTTGTTTGTTATGTGTATAACTGTATAATCAGAGGTTTGAAGTTTGAAGGGTAGATGTATGGTGAGTGCTTGTGCGGGCTATTTCAAGTACTTGTGGTCAATAGGTGGATAGGCTTATCGACTCGGCCGTTCCCACTCAGTTGATTGATTTTCATATTCGGTTTTCTATTTCAATAATACTATTTAGATGCATAAATCGATTTCATTTGGTGACATACTCATTAAACTTTTTTTCATTAATGACTGATGCTAAAATTGAAGTTTATAGTTTTTGGAATTAAGTAATATAGAGAGAGATGTGTTTGTAGGGTTGTGTAGAGTAGACTTGTAAACGGGTCGGGTTTATCGGGTTTGGGTCGGGTTCAATCCGACCCGTTAAACTAACGGGTCACCCGAACCTGACCCGTTAAGCTAACGGGTCATCCGAACCTAACTTGTTAATCTAATAAGTCACTCGTTTCACCCGTTAACAATTTATTTATTTATTTATTTTTGTGTTCCAATACAATTGGATATATAGTAAATAGACAAGGAATTGCGACTTGGATTTCTCCTCCGTCTGGTTTTGGAACTCTTCATGGAGGCTCTTGAGCTCATCTATGCAATTTGAAGTGTCACGAATCCCTATTTGTGTGAAAATATTGGAGAGCTTGGAGTGGTCGGGGACAATCTCGCTCCTGAGGCGGTCGAGTATGGAGTAGACCTCGAGGTGGAGGTCATCGTCTCTTGGATTAACGAACGACTTTGTGGTGCTGCGGGAGCACTGGGTGCGGAGAAGGGAGACAACTTCTTCTTTGTCGTCGTTTAATCATAGCTCTTTGAAGGGGAGGATGTCGAGTAAGGTGGAGAGGTCGAGGATGAGCTCGTGGAAGCTGTTTTCTAGAGACTCAGTCTAGAGGAAGAGCCACATCCTACAGCCGTTAGAAGAGTCTTCCATAAGGGTCTAGATCATCTGGAGTAGGATGTAGAGCTCTTGGAAGCAGATGATGGCGGAGTAGGAGAATACGATGGTGGAGCTGCAGATGATGTCTTCTAAGAGGATGGAGAAGAGGGTTGACCTCCAGATCACGAAGCGGGAGGTGCATCGCATAAGGAACTGGAGCGACTCGAGGAAGGAAATTCCTTGGGAGAGATGGTGGAGGGAGCGGAGGACCCAAAGTGACCCAAAGTGGCTCGGGGAGGATTCCAAAATAATTTATAATGGGTGCTAACGGGTTGACCTAAAGTGACCCGTTATTTAAAGGGTTATTAACGGGTTCACCCGTTAACAACCCGACCCATTAAGTATCCACCCAAATACTAATATTAACGGGTCAGGTCAGGTTGAGTTAACAGGTCGGGTCTAAAATGCTAGGTCTAGTGTAGAGGATGTGTCATTCCCCTTACGCAATGCCTTTATTTATAATAATAAGGGAGAGAAGAAATCCTTCTCCTGTAAGGAATACAAGTCCTAATAGGGTAGAATAACTAGAATCAAATCTAATCCAGGATTTACAAATCACACTTAAATAAGAAGTTTATAACACTCCCCCTTGGTGTTGTCTCCTTTGATGTAACCCTTCTTGAGTTGTTCGATGCATACTGCGTTGTCTTCATAGATCATCGTGGGGATGTCAACAACGGGGTAAAAATCGCAGGAGCTTTGAATATGGTCCACAACAGCTCCCAGGCAGAAGCATTCTCGAGTTGCTTCGTGTAGGGCGAGAATTTTAGCATGGTTAGACGAAGTGGCAACTATGGTTTGTTTAGTTGACCTTTAAAAGATTATGGTGCCTCCAAAGGTAAGACATAACCCATTTGAGAATGCACATTGTGCGGATCAAATGAGTATCTTGCGTCGACATAACCAACAAGGCGAGAATTGACTTGAGATAAGGGGGTGTGACATCACTTGAGGATCCATAGGGATAGAACAAGCCCAGATCCATAGTACCCTTAAGGTAGCGGAAAATGTCCTTAACACTAACCAGTGTCTGTGTGTTGGTGCATTACTGTATCTTGCCAAAAGATTAACAGCGAAAGAGATGTCGGGTCTAATGCATTGAGCTAAGTACAATAAAGCGCCTATAGCACTTAGATAAGGAACTTCAGGCTCCAAAATCTCTTCATCATTTTCCTTCAGATGGAAGGGATCCTATTTTGCATCTAGCGATCAAACGACCATATGAGTACTCGAAGGCTTCGCTTTATCTTCATTAAAGCGGCGCAACACTTTCTGGGTGTAGTTCGATTGATGTACTAAGATTCCATTTGAATGGTGCTCTATCTCAAGACCGAGACAATATCGAGTCTTTCCTAGATCTTTCATCTCAAATTCCGACTTTAAGTGCGCAGCAGTTCTCTCGAGCTCTTCAGGAGTTCCGGTGAGATTCATGTCGTCGACATAAAATGCAACAATCGCAAAACCAGAATGTGACTTCTTAATGAACACACAAGGGCATAGTTTGTTGTTTACTTATCCTTGACTAGTTAAATACTCACTTAGACAATTATATCACATTATTCCAGATTGTTTCAAACCGTAGAGTGAACGCTTCAGCTAAATTGAGATTGTGTTCCGGGGTTTAGAAATATTTGATCCAGTCAATGTAAGTCCTTCGGGAGCTTTCATATAAATTTCCGTATCAAGATGCCCATAGAGATACGCAGTTACTACGTCCATCACCTGCATACTCAATTTTTCGAAAACTACCAAACTGATAAGGTAGCGAAAAGTAATCACATCCATAACAGGTGAATAAGTTTCATCATAGTCAATCATGGGGTGTTGTGAGAAGCCTTGCGCAACATGACGAGCTTTGTAACGCACAATTTTGTTCTTCTCATTACGCTTCTGAATGAAAACTCACTTATAGACAATGGGCTTCATATGTGGAATAGTAGGAGCTACAAGTCCAAACACCATATGATTCGCAAGCGAATCGAGTTCGACTTGGATTGCTTGTTTTCATTTTGACCAATCAGTTGTATGGTTGGGTCGCAACAGGCCTCAGGCAAACCAATATGACTTCGTGCAATATTGCATGGCCCCAAGCAACAATCGGGAGTTTGGTACGTATGACCAACGATCGACCAATCATTTGTAAGCGCTTAATGAATGCTTCTGCGAGGCCGTTCTGGATGTTCAACTTCAACCCTAACCGACATGCAATAGTCATCAAAAGTTTTAGATGTGAATTCTCCAGCATTATCCAATTGAATAGATTTGATCGAATAATCAGGGTGGTGAACCTTGAGCTTGATAACCTGAGCCAATAGTTTGGAGAATGCAGCGTTCCTTGTGGACAACAAGAACACGTGTGACCAACGTGTGGAAGCGTCAACCAAAATCATAAAATATCTAAATGGTCCGTATGAGGGTGAATTGGTCCACAAATGTCCCCCTGAATCCTTTGTAGAAAAATAGTAGGATTTGAACAAATCTTGTCATAAGAAGGCTTAATAATAATAAGTTTTCCCATGGAGCAAGTTTGACATGCGATTCCTTGAATCGAATCTAAACTTCGGGTTAGTGGATGCCCGTGTGATGATTTGAAGATACGGCGCATCGTTGTTCGTCCAGGGTGTCCTAAACAATCATGCCAAAGTGTAATTTCGTGTGCAGTCCCAAAGGTAAGGCTGGCCACATAGTGGCTTTCTATAGGGCGTATGGTTGTAGTATACAAACCACTTGGGATACGCTCCATCTTCTCTAGAATACGTTTTTGGCCATATTCGTAGGAAGTGATGAACAGAAATTCAACTCCATTTTCTACATAGGTTTCAACATTGTAATTATTATGTCTAATGTCCTTGAAACTCAACAACGTTCTTCAGGAACATGGAGAATATAATGCCTCATCAATGGTCAAAACTGTACTACGTGTCTTACTGTATCCTTCGATCAGGTTGGATGGTCCTGAGAGGGTTGTCAGAGGTGCATTCTTAGGTATGAAGTTAGTGAAATAGATGCGTTCACACAAAACTATGTGTGTGGTTGCATTATCTGCCAGACAACTAACTTTCCTATTAGTCATACCTAGAATAAAAATTAATTTGAATCGGTCACATACATAAAAGTTCTAAAAAAAATATCCATTATTGAAAAAGGATGGTAATTAATAAAAACTTAATATCCAAGAACAAATCACCAACAAATAAGGGAAAATTGTGCAAAATTAAACCAAAAAACAAGGGGGGTTCGGCCACTATGTGGAATTCGGCCCCACTATTCTAAAAGTTAACTAGAAATAGTTCATGTCTAAGATTCTAATCTTCTATAGGGGTGGTATCATCCTGAAAGTCAGAAACCTCCATCTTGGTACTTTTCGGTTCATCCACTTGCATAAAGTTTAATTCAAACTTCTTACGACGAGAATCATATTTAGCTACAACCTTCTGGGGAGCACGGCAAACACGGGACCAATGGTCATTTGAACCACATCGATATCACATGTCTGCATCCATGGTTTCAGGTGCTTTGCCCTTATTCTTGAAGTTTAGGGTCTTAGGAGCGAGGTTAGGGCGCTTTTGGGCTTAGTTTCCTCCCTTGGGTGGGCTTTGGCTCTGTTGACCTTGACGGGGTGACTTCTGGCCGCCCCTACCACACCTATATTGGCGTGTTGGGCGTTGTTTTTTGCTATAATGTGTTTCAAGCACAACAGTCGCCCCAATAGGTTGAACTTGATGATTTTTCATCAACAGCTGATTCTGCTTTTCAGCAAGAAGTAAAACAGAGATCAAATCCGAAAACTTAGTGCACTTCTGAGCCCTATATTGTTGTTGCAGGACAGTATTAGTAGCAAAGAATGTCGAATAGGTCTTCTCCAGGAGATCTTCTTCGGTCAAGGTCTAGTTGCAGAACTTGAGAAGTGATCAAATTCGACAAACTTCAAAATTATATTCATTCATAAACTTAAAGTCTTGGAAGTGCAAATGTTGCCAGTCATGTCTTGCTTCAAGCAACAAGATGTCCTTTTGGTGATCAAAGTGATCAGCCAAAGCGACCTAGAGTGCTCGTGGATCCTTCTTAGCAAGGTACTCCGTTTGCAGTGCATCATGAATGTGTCTTCGGATGAAGATCATGGCAGTGGCTTTCTCAGCTTCGCCAACCGGGTTGTCCATCTCATCTTTAACGGCAGGATGCAAATTCTTTGCAATGAGGTAAAGCTTCACATCTTGGACCCACTTGAGGTAGTTCCTTCC